TGTCCAACTTGTGGTAGAGCATTCTGAGCTTGTATTGGTCTGATCAACCACAGTCAAATGCACTGTAACTTGACTCTAACATAGTGATGTCATTTTGGTCCTCTTTGAAAACAAAGGACAACCACTAACCAATCTTGGTAAATGGTATGACATTGGTCTTATTACATTGGCCCAGTTTGTGTCACACTGCTCTTCACCTTCTCCAACAATTTTGACCAATAAGAAATTCTTATGCCAAAAGCTTAAATTTTCACATTTATCAACTACAGGTTTACTATTGTCATTTGCTGCATGTCTACACTGTTCCACTGATCAGTTCATGTAATTCTTTCTATGCATATGTGAGAGCATCCTGCTCAATGTTTCTTATAGTACAATAGCTTTCCGTCACAATCACACAGCACAACTGTTTCATCCATTTCCCCAACTGACTGACATTTCCACAATTACCAGTTCTTTGCCACCACAAAGATAGCTGCTATAAATATTTTAGAACATCTAAGTTATTTTCCTTTTTCCCGAATCATCTTTGGAAATAGACCTAGTACTGGTATTGTGGGGTCAAAGGGTATAGGCAGTTTAATAACTCGGTGAGCATAACTCGTTAGCTCTCCAAAATGATCACAATTCCACCAATAATGAATATGTGTCCCAAGAACTGTAAGAATACATTCCGTTTCTAACTTCCTATTTTCACTGCTAAGTCTTTACTCTTATGCATAGTGCCACCGGAAGTAAACATTCGAAAAACTCACTCATCCCCAAAATGCATAGAACTGCATGCTACCTTACAACATACGGAAAACTGGTTTTTTAAAAAAAACATTTAAAGTGAGGTTAAAAGGGTACCATCATTTCTGGTAACACTTATTATAGTTGTGACTCAATTTGACAGTATTACATTGCTATTCCATAAAAGAAGAACTGGGACCACTAGGACAGTCTCTGATCAATCCTGAAATATCTATATGCGACAGAAAATTTTCAAGGCAAATATTAGTGGCTTTCCCATTTATCTTTATAAAGAGAAATGATTGGAGCCCAGTTCTTCAGGTTTCAGAAACTGAGGCCCATAGTTTAATGACTTCATTCCCACTCACCAAATTTATTTGTAATTCACATTAAGTAAAGAGTTTCTTCAATATTCTCTGAATGTGAGGAGCCAATTAGTTGACCAGAAAATGAGCTTTTTACTTCTTGACTTCTGTGCAGTTTCCAACTTTAGTACTATAAATGTACAAATGAGGAGCTTTAGTCATAGCCACTAACAACTATAATGAACCATATGCAACACTTTTCTAGATGCTACATTATCTAGAGCCTGTCCTGTGCTGTCAGTGTTTGCATAAAGAAATCTGTGGTGTTCCTACTGGAATTGAATGTCCAGTTTCTCCTTCATATTGTTGAAGAAATTTGCTCCTATGGAATCAGCTGGCCTTGCTTCCACCACTACTTATGTTCACCCAAGGATAAAAATGGTTGGAATGGAGGGCTGAAGTCCCCTGTGGTAATATGTGAGATTGCATCTAGGACTTTCTCTGTGAGGACATCTTTGCCAACACCAAACTGCTAGAGAAAGGCAAAATATTGGTGTTGAAGATATCCCACCAAACAGTGAGGAATTGTGAGTCATAGTGGGTTCATAAATGTCATTCATGCAACTTTTCATTTGGGGGTTAGAGTATAATTCCATGACTTGATTCATCTCAGGAGATGCATGAATTCTGCCGTTGCCCCAAGTGCCTTAAATGATGGATGTTAGAAATATATAATAATGCTGCTTAGGTTATAAATAAATGCCAGGTGCTTTCTGATATTTGTTGTTGCCCAACAGTTAAAGAAGATGTTCATCAAACTGTGATCCCCAAAACCAAAGCTGCCCTGTTTAGAAGCCATGCATAACAGCTGACTGTATATCTCAGCAGAAGATCAATAAACAAAGAGTGGAATTGAAACAGTCAGACCAATCTGAGTCTGGTGATGCCAATCTCTCTCTCTCTCTCTCTCTCTCTCTCTCTCTCTCTCTCTCTCTCTCTCTCTCTCTCTCTCTCTCTCTCTCTCTCTCTCTCTCTCAAAAAGCTTGTCAACATTTGCCAGTACCAGAGTATCTGTCTCCATGAACACACATTATGAATTCTGTATTAGTGACCAGAAGTAGAGATTGTGTCTTTTCATTAAGGTTAGAGGAGCTGGATAGTCACTGTCTGAGATGATGATCATGATAACTACATTGAAAATCTTTTCTCAACTTTCATGTTATGGAGCTGAGAAGGCAGTCACTGCTCAATGTTGAGTACAGGAACCCAAGGCACTGCGATGAGAGGGCACCTGAGTGGAACATCTAGATCTTCCTTTCTTTTAAAAAATAATTTAAATCCTTTTTAATAAGTTATTCCAGCAAGGCTTATCCACTTGCCTTAATAGTTTTTTGGCTATATTGGTCAGTCAATCACTAGAAGTTCCCCATGAAATGTCATTTTCATTCATGATTCAAGCTCCTAAAATCTCAACTGGATTAATGAAATTTCTCACATCAAATAAAGGAGCAAAGTATAAACATTTCTTTACATTTCCTTACAAGATAGGAATGGGACACTCATTAGTCTCTATGTAAAGTCATGTTTATGCATTTGAGGGAAATAATTATTTCTCTCTTACATTTAATAACTGTTTCTTTAAATAAGGCCAAGGTTTTGCCCTTCTTCTTCCTCATCCAGAAGTCACTCCCTGTGGGTTACTCAGGCAGCCCTTGAAGGGCTGATACCGAGAGGAAGAGCTCAGATCTGTTTAAAAGGTAAAGTTCGGTGAATTAATGGATTGAAGCCCATTTTGATTTACTCAGACAAGTCTGGGAAAACGTGGATTCTCCCTTTTGTCAGATGAGGACATGGATCCAAATAATTTTCTTTGACCAAAACCAAGTGATTGGAATCATATACCCCATCCCTCAGTAGCATAGGTCCATGTCTCAGTATAATATTCATTCTCTTCTTGTTGACCAATCAGAGTTGATTTCAACTCTCAAGAACACACATTTTTCCATGTTGAATGGGTTCATGAGGGTTTTTTTTTTCAAAGAGATATGGCCAAATGGCCATCCTTTTATCAATAACATGGTAGCATTATTAATAAAATGATTAATTATTGAGGAGCTATGCCTCTCAAACTTTTTATATGTCACACATAATGTATGTGAGATTTCTGTATGCATATAATACTGAGAAAATTAAAATTAAAATGAATCTGTTGAGCTTTAGAGGTGTAGGAGAGCTGGGACCCCAAAAATCACAGCACCCAGGTCCTGCAGAAATGAATTCAAAAGAAGCCTTCTTTCAGCCAAAGACAAGGTTTATTAGAACATTGGGTTCGGTGAGATTTAAAGAATCTCCCAGATTGGACAGACTCTTGAGGAATCTAAGCATGTGTATTGCTAATGCTACTGGGCCAAATGTTAAGAATCTGAGTCCCTTAAGGAGGAAAGACAGAACTTTTATAGAGAAAGACTTTGGGTAGGATTTAGGAGTGACCAAGTAGTCTGGGGTGACTGGAGGAGGAGTCTAAGGAGGATTTCATGGGAGTGGCCAGTAAGCTGGGGACACTGTGAGGTAGCAAAATGCCAGGGACCTGGACCATGTGACCAAGGGAGAATCGTGTTGTTCCCCACACTTCACCTATATAAAAAATCATGTGGACCTGAAGCCCCTGATGTCACCTATCCTGTTCTGTTCTTTGTTCTGTATTTGCCAAAATCTATACAAGGGGAGCTGGTTTTTGCTTGTGATCTTTGGCTGGGGACTAAGGCAGTTATTGACCCATCTTGTTCTCAGGTTACCGACCTTGACAATAGAATGTTATCTTGCTTAGAGAAAGGTGCCATAATTTACTTTTTGTTGAATTTAATTCAAATAATACTCAATAATTTCTAATACCTCATGTCAATATTTCAAAATGTCAGAGAATTTACTCATTCTGTATATAACATGGAAAATACAAATACAACAAATCTCAGCAATATTGGAGAGCCTCATTGAAAACGAAACAGAAGGTCAAATCAGCAACAAGAATTTTTCTATTGAGCATAGTAAATTATGTGCCAAGCACAGTGCTAAGTACTAGGGATATTAAGACAGGCAAAAAATTGTCCTGTTTTTAAGGAAGTCAATCTCATTCAGAGAGACATGAAAATAATACTGCACCATCAATCTATCCCCCTGTGTGTGTGTGTGTGTGTGTGTGTGTGTGTGTGTGTGTGAGTGAGTGTGCAGCTTAAAGATACTGGAATTAGAGAGGACAGGGAAAATAGAAGGTGGGGAGTATTTCAGGTAAGATTTAAGGAGGTCAAGGAGGCCAGAAGGCAGGGATGAGGAGCAGAAAAATTCCAGCCAGTAAAAATACATAGCAGAGAGATCGAATTTGTTATGAAAGGAACAGCAAGGAGATCAGTGCCATTGGATTGATGAGTATGTGCAAAGGACTAAGGTGGAATAAGACAGGAAGGAGCCAGGCCACAAAAGGATTGAAAAGCCAAATCATAACTTAGATTTTATCCTGGAGTCACCAGAATTTGGGGAACATGGTCAGATCTATGTTTTAGGAAGGTGATATTAATAGCTCCAGTTCAGTGTGGACTGGAGTGAAGAGAGTACTAAGGCTGGGAGAACAAGCATCAGGCTAGCACAAGAGTCCAGGGGTGAATTGGTAAAGGCCTACCTCAAGGTGGTTGAAGTACCTTGAGGAGAGAAAGGAGAGTATACTAGATTTGTAATAAAAGTAGAATGGACAGTACCTAAATACCAAATGATTTGAGGTTAGAGGTCTGTCTGAGAGTGAGTCACTAAGAATGATGGCTAGCTAGTGGAAAAGTTCCTTTCTCCTGGGATAGAAGAAAAAACGACACAAGCCATAAATAAAAATTCACTCTACACCTGTTGCTGGATCTAGGTATCTTTTACTCTGTGCATCATGAGCTCAGTCCACTTCTTGCCTCACTGTAACCTCACCTCCAGGCAGGGGAAGATTTTATCTGGTCTCACATTGCTTTTCCTCACTGTGTCTCTTGCACAGTAATACACAGCTGTGTCCTCAGTCTCAAGGGAAGTCATCTGTAGGTATAAGATGCTGATGCCATTATCTCTGGAGGTGGTGAATCGGCCTTTCACAGAGTCTGCATAGTATGTACTACTAGTAGTACGAATGCTTGCAACCCATTCCAGTCCCTTCCCTGGAGCCTGGCAGACCCAGCTCATCCTGTAGCTGCTGAAAGTAAATCCAGAAGCTTTGCAGGAGAGACTCAGAGATCCCCCAGGCTGTATCACATCTCCCCCAGACTCCACCAGCTCCACATCACACTGGACACCTGCAACACAGAGACATTGCATTAAAGTCAATAGTCACATGAAGTCACCACTTCATATTGTCCCTTCCTTTCCATAAAGCTACCTCGGAAAATAGTCATA